GGAGAAAAAAAAAAAAAAAAGGAAGTAAAAGGGAAGTTATCTATGAAGGGGGAAAACCTCATGTTAAAATCAACTGTGAAAGTCTCATACTTACAGTAACACCAATATTAACCTCACTCTTCACAGGCCACAGACCTGACGAACAGCAGACATGCTGGAGAGCCAGCTGGAGCCAGAATACCACCCAAGTACCACCGCAGCCTTATTTAACAGCTCCTCTTGCACCTTCTGGAGCGGAGTCAGACAGGCAGCGCAGGTCAGACGGGAGTGAACTGGCGCTGCTGGTGCAGGGCGCTGGCCGGGTGGGCTGCAGGAACACACGAGTCACCAGGCAATCTCAGATTTGGTTCTTCTTGAAGTGGCTACCCAGACCATGCTGGCGGGCATGGAGACAGAGATTTATCTGCAAAAGTTTCAAAGGACTCGAAAGCCTCCAGCTTTCGAGCCAAGCAAAAGGCCGGTGTAACTAAGACACAAAACTGGAACAAAAATAGTTTGAGTCAAACGCGAGCTGATGCTGGCACGGCAGGGCGACTCGCATCACATCACTTGAACGAGGCAGGGCTTGGAGGAAGGGAGAGCGAACCGAGCAGTCTGAGCTCCTCTTGGCCTTCTATAAGGCAATTCTTCCGACTTTCAAGGCAATGAAGAAAAGTTTAAGCAAATACCTAAATTACAGGATACACAAATAGGGAAGTTCAATATAGCTGTTCATTAGCAAACTGGCTAACTATCTAAAAGTGGAAAAGTAATTAATTTGAGCTATAAATAAGGTAACTTTAAATGAGGATGATTTAACTCTTACAGCCAATCTACAATCCAGGCTGTAGCTCTTCATAACTTGCAATGACAGGTTCAGGGTTGTCTCCTTCCCCTTCAGAAAGATGCTGCCTTGTTCTTAGTAACCAGGGACTATAAACCAGGAGGGGCCATCAAATTGATTTCACATGCAATTGCGCTCTGCTCACGTAGGACTGGATTTGGGTCAGATCTGAACTTCCAACAACAACAACTTCTTGAGAAGACTCATTCTGTAGTGATTTCAGACGTGGCTGCAGATATTTTCCACGTACAATAGCTGCCTGTGTGTATGGGTGAAAATATGAGGTTACCCATCTATCATAATGCCTTCGGAGACTCCCCAGAGCAGAAGCGAAACTTGTGCTTCTCCTTGGATATATGCTCAGCCCCTCAGCTGATAGAGCTCCCATTCTTTCAGCTAACCAGCTAAGGCTCAGAGACACCCATCTCCAGGCCAGCACGCCTCTTCAAAAGACACATTCCAGCCCGTCTGTCCAAGAGGGAGGGAGTCCAAGTTACAGTATCACATCAGAGGGTTGTCATCTCCCATCCAGGGCGTCACTAGCAGATGTAGCTCAAGGCACAACTCTCCTTCATTAGCTACATCAATAAGGAGAGTTAAGGTAATAGCATAGTCATGAAAAACAAGCTGTAGCAGCCTTCCTCAGAACCACCTCTGAAAACAAAGTTCTCAGTAACAAAGTATTTGGTTTATACTTCATCAGATATTTGAAATAAGGAATCACTTAACCCCAAGTCAGAGCCTTTGAGCAGCGAAGTGGAAACACCGTGTAAGACTTGCTGCCCCTGAGAAAACAGGGAACTGTCTTGAACTACTCAGTCTTGAGTTCATTGTGGTGATCCGGCGCTGAGTGGTCCCTGACTTACCCTCTATTAAAAATAGCGAGCCAAGTTAAGAGGTCACTCGGTGCTACAATTCGGATAGAAAATGTACTTGCTCTGAGCTGCAGATGTTCCTAAGCCTGCTTTAACAAGAGCATTGTATGAAACCCTGAAACCAGGAGTTCCGTGTTGAGTTTAAAATGTGTTTTTCCTTTCTAGAATACACTAAAATTAAAGACATCATAGTTTCAGTAAAAAAACCCTGATTTTCAGTGAACCAGAAACCTTCAGCTAGATACAACTAACCAGATATTTAAAAGAACACAAGTTCAATAGTTTCATAAACTGAAGGGACTCAATACGGAGACTAGGCAATTTTAGCAATTCAACCCAGTTTCAATAGGAACAGCCTGTGAACCATTAATAGCAACATCCTATTGAGTACATGAAACAATGATTTCTGACACCTTCCCCCCCAACAAAATACGAGTTCCCCCACTTTGCTCCCAACATCCACCCCAACCAACAGCAGGTCTGTTAGTCCTGCAGGGAATAAAACCCGTGGTGACACCGCACTACTTTCAGGTTAAGAACTGTTGGCCACGCAGCCCTTCCTGCTCCTTCCCCCCAACCCACACTGACTCAGCTGATGCTCTTCGTTCTTAAATGAAGCAATTCACTTGGAATTTTAGCAGTCAAGTAATTTTAGCAGTATCTTTTAAGAAGCAATTCAGTTTTTTAGCTTTTTTTTTTTTCTTCCATTTACAGCAGAACAATGAAGAAACCTTTCAGTGCTGGCCTGGGAAACAGAAACTCTGTCCTTCACTGGGGCTCAGCAGTCACTAGAATAAGATGCACAGGTACAAGTGGTTGCAAAACACTTGCAAAACACTGGTGTTTTTTTTTTTTTTTAAAAAAAAAAACAAATGAGATCTTGACCAGCAACCAACTTGAGTCATTTAAAGACAAACCAACTATGATTAATAATAGCTGAAAATCTGCTTAAGCCATGTGTTCCGATGTCTGCATTTTTCAAAAGCCTTATTCACAGGCCAGTCCCATGGCTAGGAACTATTAATAAGGCAGTTTCCAATGAGATACAATTCAGTTACAACACAACAGTACTAGAAGTATTTCTATAAAGTTTGAAATGTTTTTAATATGTACATTCTTTCTTGGTAAATATTAAAGTAGTGCTTTTCTCTTGCACTTTTTTTCTTTAGACTTCTAAAAGGGCATCAGAAATACAGTTTTCACCCCCCTCCAAATCAACGCACAGTTGTTACCTTCGTAACAAGCACATACGAATTCTGTACACCTTTCCCTCCCCACAAAAGAAATAAAAATATGCCGTGACTACCCAATTACACATCATCACAACAAGTTTAAATTACGCATACAAATAATTCCAGAGTATTTAGCAAAACCCAACATATTGGATTTACGAAACCATTCCATGCATTCAACAACAAAAAAAAAGAAAAAAGAAAAAAGAAAAAATGATTACATTTCTTTAAATGGTGTTTTCGCTTTCTATCCAAGTACCAAAGTCTGGATACAGTGTATCATTAAGACTAACCACTGCTTGAGTCATAGAAACATGACAGTACATAGATAACCAAGTTTCTATTTATAGACAATATGCTATACAGTTACTACCTCTTTAATGAATGTCAAATAAAGCAAGTTTTGCTTTGTAAGACGTTGAAACTGCACATTAAGAAAACAGTAAGAGGTGCTGCTAAATAGGTAACAACATTTTGAAAGGAAGGCTATGTATTTATATGATCCTGCTTAGTAGTAGCTGTTAATTAGCAGGGCTCCTATGTTGTTAGCTACTTTGTTTGTTCTTTTTTCCAGAATGACAAGCTATTCAGGAGCTAGAGCTTACTAACCGAGAAATATCACAAATTTTATCTTCAAGAGGAAATAAAAGAATTTATGCAGTGAAAGCCTTCAGGGGCAGTCTCACTCATTACATAAAATCTTTGTATTTTCTACAAGAGGCTCGTAGCACAACATACAGATTGGAAACAGACATTTCAGACATACATTACAAACCTGAATTCAAAGGGTATTTTCACCTTTACTATGAAGAAGACAAGTAAAATTATAATTTTATTTACATGCAAAGGACTCTGCACGATTTCGTAATATCCTATTTTTGTGTTTGCCTTAAGATACTCCTTGAAAAGCTGAACTTCAGTTCTAAATTTATTTTACATGAATCTTGACAGGTATCAGTCTCAGGCATTACTCCCTCCCAGTAAATAAATCAATACTGTCAATTTGCTCAATTTATTTTAACAAATCAATTTAGAGTGTCACATGTTCCTGGTATACAGGGGTTAATACCTGTGCAAGTTAGTTTCCATTTATTAGGAAAGCTCTCCATTAGCAAGGTGCATTTTCAGTACAATTAAAACCAGCTTCCTGCATTAACTCGTCTCGCCTTGCAACGCTGCTGAACTGCAGTCAAGCACAGTAAGACAGTACAAGGCTGTTGATCAGTACCACGTGTTACAGCTGTTAACAATTCTGTTTGTGCCACAAAACCAGAAGTCAATCATTAAAAAAAAACATCTTGGCTCTTCTTTAACTGAATTTACCAGGTGATGTTAATTACCGTCCTTATCAAACAAATTTTCGTAAAGGCTATTTACAGTGTACATGGCTGAGCATGCACCTTACAGACACAAACACATCTGCCAGTTTGATACCATGTAATAACACAGTGCCTGAAAATGACAACACATCTTAAACACCATTTTAATTAACAGTTTCAAGCGGGAAATGGTCTTTATTTTACAACTGCTATACTTGCATGATTTTTTATTTTTTTTATATAAAAACACTAACTCCTGTCCAGAAGTCTAGACACATTCTACATACTACAGGTTAAGGCAGTAAAAAAATGTGTTCCTGATAACTGGTCTTGACAATGTCAATTAAAGCTGTCTGAAGACACTCCAGTTCTCCAACAGATCTTTGAAATCCCAAATAATTTGTGAGTGAAAGAAGTTCGTTTTGCTTTCTTCAGAGTTTCAGTAATAGAGGACAGAACAGAATTGGGTATGGCAGAACAGAATTGGGTACGGTAAGTTAAGAAGTGTTAAGGGAAGGGAACATTTGATTTCAATTCATTCCTTAAGTTTAAAAGTCAAAAGGATACAGCTTTAGATGGGAGCCTGAATCAATCAAAAACTGTAGGGAACGGAGAAAACCAATTTTATGCACATTACTGCATTCTTAAAAATATACTGTTATCTTCAACAATTCAAGTAAGGTAATAGATATTATCAAAAATAACTTCATGAACCATACTCAAGTTTCAAATCACATTCTCAAACTTTTAACCCAAAGCAGTTTCATTGTGTTAACTTCATATAATAAACCATGAAGGTCTGACTGTACAAATGGTTAATGATTTGCACTTGTGATTCCTGTAATAGCTAGCAGGCTTGCTAACCAACTTGCTGTAAAGATATGGCAGATTATGTATTTAATCAAAGCACTTTGATTTAGGCATGAAACAAATTCATATGGTTGACATTCTGTGCTTCCAATGCATCACTTGCAAGAGAGGCAAGAAACACCCGCTATTGTACAGACAATTGTTTTTACAAAAAACCCTTCCTTGAAACCAATCTTTTTTTTCCGCAGCTGTAGATGAGAGTATAATCTGTTGTAAACAGGGCACTGTGTTGTAAAACCAGTTGTTTTTTTTTTTTAATTAAGATCTCTCTCCAAAAGTTGGAAAAACAGACTCTTCAGAATGTCTTTCAAATGTAGCATGTTCTGTTTGCTAGATCATAGTTACTTTCCTTTGATTCCTTTTTAAAGATGTTTGTGTTCACAGCAGTTCTGTTTTTAAAAATTGTTTGCAATTTATATAAAATTCTGTACATGTTCACAAATTATTGCATAAACAGCATAATCTTCATGACAGTATTCAGCAACACATGTCCATCTCCAGAAGTTCACGTTTCTCTTCTTGCTTTTTTCTTCTTTTTAACTTGTTTGGGGGATTCCCAGCTTTCTTCAGACTTTGCTAAAAACAAAAGATAACTACAGTGTTAGGACTGAGAAAGTTTACACAGAACTGACTTTTAAAATCTTGGATAGTGCACTCCGTATTATTATGAAGTAGTTCAGAACAATCAAGTAGCATGATTTTTGAAGAAGAGTTCTATTCAACCTACTTTTTTTGCACCACAAAGAGTGATACACAATGAAGGTCAATTATTTCATAAATGTGTTATTTACAGTAGGCTCTTTATTATTTTTTGGCTAACTGGAAATAATATACATGTACACAATTGACATTAATTATTCACTTTTATATTTAGTGGTTAAAACCAGTGTAATCTGATAAGTGACATGTCAGAAGAGTATTTTTAAAAATAGTGAACCACATAAAGGCATGGTTACATGGAATCCATAATCAAATAAAACAGCACTATGTTATTTTGTTAGAACAGACAGCCTTAAAATATGCTGGCTGCCAAAAGTGGTAAATCAGGTGAAATATTTTATATACTGAACATAAGAGGTATTCTTTCAATTGCTGAGGCATGAATCAGTCACAAAAGCTTTCATATTTTAGAACCAGAACAGAAAGTTCCGAGTTGACACATTGACTTGAAAGATTCTATTGTTTAATATTGTTTAATATTGTTTAATATATTCAAAACCAAGAAGCCAATTTGTGCAGACTAATACCATGAAATCGTCTAGTTTCTTCTGCAGTCATTAAAAACTGATTGAGTACTTCAACACTTAGCCAGAAACTTCTTAGGAAATGTCAGTATTTATCAATCTCATTAGAAAGTCTAATTCAAACAACTTTTTTTTTTAAGCAATGCCTTTCACATCCTGACTTCCCTTCTAATTTTTCCATGTTACTGGGCAAGTACTTCAGTATAAGCACTTTTGCTGAGTACAACAGAGGATACGTTTGACATGTCTGGGCACAGCATATTTTTAAAAAGCAATATACCTGCAGTTCAGCCCAATGTATGTGCTGTTAGGCTACAAAAGTTTATCATCCAGTACCTTACTACTCCCATATTAGCAACTGGTTTCCTGCACAATTACTACATTTCGTGGAAGCATATGGAAAAAGATGTTAATGAGCAAAGTTAAGAAGTCAAAAAAAACCCAGTAGGTTGAAAACTGAATTGCTTCCCCCCCGCCAAATTTCTGGTAGCTAAACACCCTGTCAACTGCTATGTTAGTACCCATCTGTTCCACTGAAGACTCGCAAGCAGACCTTTGAAACAGTATTGGCAGAACTACTTAGTCACAGCATGCAGCTCCAGTCCTGATGGTGAAGAGTACGCCCAAATGTCTGTTAAGGACTGGACAAGGCCAACAGACATTTTCAGTCATTCAAGTATACAAAGCCAGTTTTTTCCTCATAGTGAAAGCACATTTGACAAAGTACTTCAGTGAAAGCTACAATATGGCAAGACATATAAATGAAATACTTAAGTACCTGATATGGCACTCTAAACCCAAACCTCAAGGCAAAGCGTTCTGACTATATATGCTCCACAGGGAAAAAAGCACGTCCTGAATTCAGACAAATGACTTGTACTGAGATACTTACTCTGTGGAGGAGGCACACTGTTTTGCTTAATATTGGGACTAGAAACATCCGTCTCTTGCAGCATCTGTGGCACTTGGGAAGCGATCTTGTCAGAATCGCTCTCTGATACAATTACAGATGGCTCAGTAGAAACAGCAAGCGAAGGAGCCTCCTCAGGCTATTTGAAAAACAGAAAAAAAATTTCCAAAAGTTTATTAAATCATACAACAGAAAAACATTCTCATACAGTGTTATTTTGGCAGTATACTTAGCAGCTGATGGAAAGATGGCATTGAAAAATTTAGCCAATATTAAAATCCTTTAAAATTTTAAATCAAGGCTGCAAGACTCTCACTGCCATCTAGTGCCAAAACTCTTAGTTGCAGACAAGCAGAGACAAACTACACGAATTCTTCTTAAAATACATGACATGCAAAGGGAGAACAATATAAAAATCACTAAGATCCTAAAAAGATTCTAGAATACATATTCAGAAGAGATGCAAGATAGCGACACATATGCATTTAGTTGCAAGGCAAACAGGCAAGCTGTATAGGTCCAAATATGCAACTCAAATCAAATAAAAACTTTTAGTATTTAGAAAGCGTTTGCAACCATTCCTATCAACTGGTCAATATACTCTGTATGCTTATATTAGCATAACATATTTGGGAGAGCAGTCAAAAAGTATTTCAGTGTACAATATTTTAGGAAGAACTGCCAAGTAAAAGATACTCCTAGTATTTTCCAATTATCCTGTCTATTTTGAAGGTTCCCACTACAGAGACAAGATGTAACTGTAGCATACTGTGTAGCACTTACTGAAATTAAAGTACAGTAAAACAGAAGTCAAAATGTAAAAAACATTTTGACATTCCAATAGGAAAGTCAGAACAGAAAAACCATATGATCCCACAGTAGGTGACCTAATGACAAAAGAATTCAAGTAAAAGTGTATTAGCAAACAGTGCTCAGTCAGGCAATAAGCCCCAAACTTTAGGATGTGATTAAAGTCATGGCTGTAGTTGCACCACAACAGACAGGACTTGGAATTGACATAACAAAACAGTGAAGTTTACATCCAGCCCTTGATGTGGATATAACACTGAACCTACACTATAGTCACCGATTTGTACTGTTTCCATCACTGTAATTTAAGCATCTCAAAAATTTAGTCAGAACATACAAAAGAGCAAAAGGAGACACTTTTTTACTTTTCATTTAAATCATACCATACTGAGCAATAAGTTAAACAGCTATTATTAAAAAAAAAAACAAACCCAACATATGAATTTAGAGGGTAGCAGTTCTCTAGCCTTTTATGAATAAAGGAGTTTGGTGTGCCCTTACACATAAACTGAATCAAGTTTTTTCATAACTATCATTGCAATATTTCATCTTAATCAACTGAAAATATAATAATCTTGAACATTTTTTTATTATCAACCATGCTGATAAAATGAACTCCCATCCTACAGGATTTCCACGCTTAGATAATTCCAACGTTGTCTAAGGGTTAGCAATCGTCAGCTACATAGATACGTGAACTCTAACAAAAGGATGTGGCCTCTAAAAGAGAAGGAGGACTTAAAGCTCCTAGTTCTGCAAGGGAATTGACTCAGGTCACTGGTACCATAGTTTTGTTAGGACAGAGTCACTCCACCTGTGGGTAAAGCAACTCAATTAAGATTTAAATGGCATACAGCTGTCTCAGGCTGACTAACAAACAGCCCACAGCTTGAATATTAAAGCACACAGCATTACTGCAAATGTAATGATACAGCTACATACAGCATTATCTGGATATTTTTCCAAATACCATACTTCTGTCTGAATTTTGGATGAGGGGAAATGGATAATGATATCAAACATTAAGAATTGGGTACTGCTCTTCGCTAGGATATTCTGCGTTAACAAACGAGTTCAGAAAGGAAACCTGAAACAATGAATACAGCCTATCAGATAATATAAATAGTTATATGCATAATTCTATGATTTATTAATGAAGTAGTGACTTGTGAAACTGTTACAAATTAAGGATTTCCAAAGATGTCTCTTCATTTAAAACCTGTGATAAAATGCCAAATGTTTTCCACACAGCCCAATGTATAATAGGGGAAAAACATCATTACCAGGTAAAAATTTGAAGTGTTCAATATTCAGCTGTTTCCAGTCTTTATGAGGATATTCTGGATAACAACTTATTTGTACTCTAATATCAGTTTATTTTTCCTCATATTTGGTTCTCATGTTCTGGAGCATTTGCTCAAGACTAGATTACCAACCTTGGAAACTTAAGTCATTCATTTCACACATCAGTCACAGACTGTTTCTAAAAGTTTTTGGAACAGCCAAGTCAAACAACATCAGAAGGCATCTTTGCATGTGTGAAATTACAGTACAGCCAAATCTGATAGCAAGGAGACTTGAGAAAGACTGAAAGACCATCTGCATTGTCAGACACAACAATTCACAAATTGTCCTTTATCAAGCCCCACTAACTTCCAGGGAATGTTGTTAATAGTTTTGTTTGTCCTTTGCCTTCACACCAAGTTTAATATAGACTATGACTTGTTTCACAAAATGGCCATCAACACAGCTATACAGGCACATATATGAGCAGATTGAATTTAAGGTTCAAGAGTTACAGTAGCACTCGAGCACTCAAAAAATAGCGCACAGTGTAAGTCTACATCAGAGCTGATGCGATCGAATCACTTAGAGTTTGGTATGGTTTTAAACACTAAACAATTGAGCAAAGTCTGCTGAAACTGGGCAGATACTTTAGCAGTGCCAACACCTTGTGAGGAAAAAAATAAACTATCTAACTGCAGATGAAAAGAATTATTACATTTAGCTGAAAAGTATTTCTCAAATCAATTTAGATTTTTAAACAGCAAGAGTTAGCCTTTTGGGATGCACCAGTACACCTTTTTCTAGACGTCAAAAAAACCCACCGTGATGTCACAATCCAAGTATGAGTTTTCTGTCTATGCATTTTCAACTATGGCCTCCAACACAAGCCCATGTATTTGCTTTTAAGTTTTTTAAAAAACACACACTGCCAGGAATAAAGCCACTTGCACACATAGGCAGATGTCTTTTTTCAGATACAGGTTCAAAAAAAAAAAACCTACAAAAACCAACTTTGCACTGGTCAGATAGAATAGGTAGCTGTTGCTAACCTTGAATAAAGGTTGAACTGAACCTAAACTAAATAATTATAGTAAAAGCTCTACTTTGATGTAGGATATTCAGAATAAGCTAAAAGTATGTCTGAATGTGCTTTTCAAGGCACATGTTCTCAATAACCACTTTCTGTACTTTGGTGACCTGCAACCTCTTATAAGAGATTCCATTCTAATATTTTCACTTGAATCTTAAGACCTTGTTATCTTTACAAAACAAATGCTCAGCAATTAAGAAGTAAAACTCAGTATTCTGACAGATATTCTGTAATACCAAACTGCTGTCTCGCTGGTATTGTTCATACTTTATGGAACACAAACCAAATACCACTAGAAATATTAAATACTTTACTTCTTCCTACAAAGTGATGCTTGTAGGATAAGAGTACCTAGAAAAGCTGTTAGCTGGAGAAAGATTAAAGAGAGTTTGTATTCTCTAGAATATTTGTTTCAACTGTGAGCTTAAGCAAACAGTCAGTTTGTGAATTGGTTCAAATAAAACCTTTTCTTGTTCAGTCATTAACATTAAACTCAGCACAGCCATTAAAAATCAAATTTAGGCTGCATTTAAGTCAGAGTATAGTAAGTTAGTAACACTTCATTCTGTTGCAATGAAACAGTAAAATACGCTATTAGTCTTGCGCTGACCTATTAGGTCTTAGGTTTCCAGATTTCAAAGTTTTAAACTATTGCTTGAGTATTCAAACAAGAAAGTAACTTGAGTGTCATGAAAGTGACAACCGATTCAGAAGATACTGCTTTTCAGAGTAGACATCCTTTTTAAAACTCCTAACTGACCTACATCTAAAATTCAGCTTCTCCATCACCTGTATATTCATAAGCATACAGCTTGAAGCAGTCTTCTTACTGTAACCTTACCTACACAAATTAATGTTTCAATGAACTTTTGAGCAGTTCAAAATCAGAAATTGTAACATAAACCAAGTTTTGTATCCCTACCTTAGCTGGTTCACTAGTACTTATGGTCTTCAGCGAAAAAGCTATTTCCTGCTGTGGTTGAACTTTTGAGGTATCCTCCTGAAACTCCTCTCCAGCTTCTCTATCCAGTTCTTCAGTGTCCTACAAAAAGGGGCGGGGGGGAGGTGGGAGGGGAAAGAAAAAGAGCCTGTGTTTGCATGAAAGTTCTGACTCTTTCCAAAAAAAATTTGTACAAGCTAATATTAACCTACACTAACATTCAAAATTTATAGAACATAACACAAAAATACCCATAGAACCCATTAAATCCTGGAAAGCAGTACTCTTCGTGCAATTTGCTAACAAAAATCCCGATCTCTGAATGAACTCCACTTCACAGTCCTCTGAAATTATAAGGATGTGAAATTAAACTGAAGTTACTCCAAAAACGTTGCAAAAATATCACGACGAGACTTGACTGCTCTCAATTCGGTGTTTTGTTACACGTAAAATGTTTTAAAATGCAAGCTCTGCATATTAACCTGTAAAGTTTTCTATCATATATTAAGCTTTAGTAGTATTTTTGCAATCCAATTTAGTCTGCCATGATGCCTGTAAGACAAACCTCTCGGTACGGAAACTGAAAACATATCTTAAGTATCCAAGAGTCTCAACCTTTACTCCTTAAACACTCTAATGGTGGAAAGTTTACATTTTGCACAAGGAATTAGAGTAGTTACATTTGTCTATAGCACCAGAAGAATCTTGTGGCTGAAAACAGAACACAAGCCTCTGGTTTTAAGCTGGAAATACCTCTTGAAACACTGCTCCTTCCACTTACTCTCCCTGGAACCTTGTGAAAACACAGTCACTGTCTAAGTGTGTTAATTCCTGACAGGAAAGAATATATATTGTCTTATCTAGCTCTGAAGGTAGCTTCCATTGCCTTGACAAGTGTTCACATTCATATTCTTTGAGTTTAGCGTTTAAGTACAATCAATGAGAAAGATGACAATGCTTAAATGAACACGTTCGATTTTCAGAAGATAAATACACAAATTTTAATTGAGTTTGAATTAGGATCAGCAAGTTAAATTACTAAACTGCTACAATAAGGATAACTTATCTGTGATGTATTAGCAGTTCTGTCTGCTCCTATCAAGCAACACCCCCTAATTTTCCATAAAAATTTAATGCAGAGAAATTATCATCTTTAAACTGTTGATCTCAGACTGATGGACTGAAAGAAAAGGTAACAAAATCAGAATGGCTGGAGACCAATGTGCAGAATAAATGAATCTGATTATGCTAATATGGACAGTAGGATTCCACTCAACATACACAACGTAAAAGGCAGCTCACAGGCAATGGAAAATAAAATAATTTCAGAATGCACTCCCCGACCATAAGATCCATGCAAAGACATCTGCAGACACCTGTTGACCATAACCTATTAATCTTGACTTAGACTTATAGTCATTGCAGATACTAGAACATGACAGATTTCAATTACAAAAAAGCTGCAGTCCTAGTACCCTCAGTTTGAATTTGCCTCAAAAGAAACACTGCAAACTGACACAAGCATCCACCTCACCACAGACAACTATAATTCTATGTAATCTGAATTCAATCTTTTTAAATTGTTTTAATAAAATCTCAGACTGAAAACATGATAATCATAAAAAGCAAATCCAAAGCAAGAATGACTGAAGTAATGCTTTCCCCCTCTCTCCAATTCACCCAGTCAGATTCAACTGAACATTTTGTAAAGAATGTAAATCATGAATGGCTGTCACTACAAGCAGAAGCAGGATGTATTCTGATCATCAGCTATTAAAAGCTTTTTCCCATTAGGAAAGTACTTGTTTTCATCTATCCAAACATGATTCAGTTGCCAAGTGAAGTGCAATCTGCTTTTGCTATTTTTACAACAAATCTGTTTCAATGTAATTCTTCAAAAGCTATTTAAGTAACAAAACTCCGACCATCCTCAGTTTGCAAATACTATCTATCTCATTCAAATCTGACTCAGAGAGTACCTCCACCTATTAAGTTGAGGCATTGATACTTAACTTTTCACATAAATCAAACTATGACACCACTTCAGAAAACCACTATGTTCTCGTAGGACTGTCCTTTAAGACAGCCTAAGAGAAAACTTCAATTTTCCCTGTTCTCCTAGCTAGCTATGTCCCCCCAAGGCAGCTGTCTTTCAAAGGACAGGAGAAGGCTTCCCGTGCTTCCTCCTGGAAGCACCCCTATAGTACAGAATCCTGATTTGATAGAAAATAAAAAATTCAGGATGAATATTTTCCGCATATTTCAAGCTTTCCATAAATCCATCAAAGCTATGTTGATTCACACATCAAACATGGAATAATTCAAATTAAAGGAAATACTAGTAAGAGAAGTATTACTTTAACTCTAGAGAAACAATCTAATATCATAAAGAAAATTATTTCCCCAAAATAATTTTTGTTTAAGATACTAACACACAAAGTAAGGTGATTTTGTGAATTCTTCACAATTGCCTTTCTGACTATCCAGATTTTGTTCTATTACCTGTGCAGGAGAGTTAGTTTCTTCACCCTGCTTCTTCTTTTTCTTCTTCTTCTTCTTGGATTTGCCACTTGCAGAACTCTGAAGAATTGGCTCTGCTTTTTCTCGTTCATTATCTGAAGGCTTCATACAGAAATATAAGGTATTTAGCATTTAAGATGACAATGAAACATGCCTTCTATAGACTAAACAAGAACGTAACAGCCGTAAGGAATTTAATCGTATATAAAAGTATAAATGAACACAATCTTATCTGTTCAGCTCATTTTCGGAAGACCACATTCTTTACATGCTATCTGGTAATACAGGTACAGGAGATGGGAATGAAAAAGGCAACAGAGCACCATGTACTGGTGGCACAGAAATGTTGTTTTTCATACAGAAAATTAAATAGTGTTAAGAAGTATTTACGAAAACAGATCTAAATCCTCTCTTAGTCTACAATGATGAGATAATCCTTACATTATGGCGAGACCCTAAGATTTGACATGGAGCTAAGTGGCTTCTTCTTTTCTCAATAGTAACAGTCAGCATTTTCCTGCTCTGTGTACACATTAAACACAGCTGTGCTACTCTTATCAGTGTAAAAGAGTTGAGAGATTACCTTTATCATCACCCTTAAATTACTTTAAGAAACAGCAGTGGTAAGGGCAAAGTCTTAGAGCTAAGGACTAAATATCACCTTTTACCTTCTGAACATCAGATATCTCTTCAGGTTGAGGAACAGAAGCAACTTTTTCTTCATCTACCCAGTTTCCCCACTCTTCTGCTGGTGCATTCCAATCAGAGGTGGGATCAGCTGAAGAAAGTCCATCTGCAAAGATTAAAAAGATTTTCAGGAATGTCTCCTTAGTTTAAGGTGCTCTTTGACAGTTTAAAAATGAAAAAAAAATATCTATGCATAAACCCACTTCTTGATATCAAGATATAAATATTAATTTCCTGTATTTCTGAAAAATTTAAAGATTTTAATGGTAGGTGGAAGACTTTCGTAAGCAATGAGTAAGACAGTTATTTTACAGAGCAATCAGATTATAAACCAGTCACAGCAGCAGCTAGCTAGAAGCAATTAAAGCACTTTGAGATACATTTTCTAGACTTTGTGACAAGGCACAACTTTAAGAGTTGTCCTCTATCTTAAACCTTCCTACTATTTTGTGAAAAAAATTAAGATGAACTGTAACACTGATCACTCTTACCCTAGTAAGAATCCTTTACAAGTGATATATCTGAAAGTGCAAATCTTACTGAGCCAAAAGTCATCTTGTAACACTGACTTTTTTAGTAACATTTTTTCTAAGACTCTAAGTCTCTACTCTATTTTGATATCGTTCTTTTATGATGGCACATATTTATGTTGTCACACAGGAATGATAGATTTAAAGGATCAGTTCTATAAAAAATAAAAGTATCTGAAGGGAAGAGCTAAGCCTTAGACTGTCTGTTTAGCAGAAAGTTACAGCAAGCCGATTTTAAAACAGAACACTTTGTAAAAGATCATCTTTCATTTCACACTTATATTAACATCACAAATAATTCTCACCCTCAATCTATGCCAAATTGGAGGAGAAAAGGCAAATTTGGTCTGCCAACCACAGTGGGATTCAGTTTAAACATCTGAAAATCAAGTCAAAGCGAAAAGCAGTAATAAACCCAATTAAATTTACTGGCAAACATTATGAAGCCAAACATACACCAAAAGACCTCAAGATTACTTGTAATACTTTTCCACCTCTTGCTTTCATATAAAAGTATTACCTCAATTACACTTACTTTGGACACTAAAACGTACTGATTTGAAACAACAATTACTACCCAACATGATACTTTACAGTTTGTATACTGCCCTCTCACTAACTGCTTGAAGAAAAAAATCCATTCTTTTTTATTAATAATAAAATTAGTAATATTTGTACATACAGTTAATTTCATTGTCTTTAATCTGATAATGCAGTAAGGTGTATCTGTGTATCACATTGGCCCAAACTTCCATAATTTCCTCACTTCTATTAGCGTACACTTCAATTAGTTGATATCTATGACCGAATTACTCTATTAACAGAAGCTACAGACATAAACATTCTATCCTCAGAAATGTGAATAAATTATGCTTTTGATAATATGTAAAACTGATTACTTTCAAATGATTAACTGATATGCGCTTCCCTTATCCTTAAACCAGATAAAAAGAAAAAAGCTAAGTTTCAAAAGTATCAAAGCAGTCACGCCAAAACTGATGGAATCAAGGTCTGCATCAATCCATTCCACTTTTGCAGTCATGAAACAAGAAGTTGTTCTTAGAGAGAAGGTAACAAGCAAGGCATGTTTTCTGGTCAGTTTCTTGACCAATTTTTCAGCTCAGTGACACCATGAGAGGCACTAAACTGCTTTTTTTAAACATTTTTAGATTTGACTGAATAAAGCTATATATTACAAGGCAGTTTTAAGGCTGAATTTCAGGCTGAAAGCTTTATTCATAGGTACAGTTTCACTAGTAAATATTTAAGAATGGCTGTAACTTTATTATATTCAGCCCTGTTTAGGGAGAGACTCTGGCAAGACCTACAAGAATATTTTAAAATTGGCAGGAAAGGGGTGAGCAAACACCAATTTTACTATAATTGCCAAGTAATTTCAGTGATTTCTATCCTGCATGTGCTTTCTACACACATAAGAACTTCCTAATGTTTACTAAATGAGAAAGTAAGGTAGACTGAATACAGGAGTCTTACATCACATTAAGTTTTCAGTAAGGTACAGACATGTAATAGCAAACTGACTGAAATATGTCTTTTGCAGGCTTGCAGTAGATTTTTCTCATCATTTGAAATAAGACTGTTTTAATTGATTAGCAAGGTTCTCTAGCAAAAGCTAGAGCTACCTTAAAATGCATGAGCTCTTTCACTTCTGAGTTTCAATATCCAAGTATTTTTCCTAAAAATTAACCATTTTCTATTATAATTTTTCAAAATACATCTTCCTGCTTTCTTCAAACTGTCAATTAGCTTCACAGAAGTGAAACATTCCATGTTTTTCTTCAGATTCTCACAACTGGCAAATACAAGTAGCTAGTATAAGTAACCACACTTTAAAGTAAGGGCAATTAACAAAATTTTGTTAATGAACATTTTAGAGGAACATACTTAACCCAGACCATTCGTCATCAACCGGGGGTTGAGCATGACTCAAATCCCACTGAAAATCGGAAGTACCAGCCTGAGAAACTGACTCACTGTTGGATCCTGAAAGGGAATAAATAAAATTGTACTTGTAAGTTAGCAAGTTTCCTGAATTTTCTTGGGTAAAGAAATTCCAATCGAAGTAGGAAAGGAAGACCAAAGCCTCAATGAAAAAGAGTCTGATTCTAAGGACTGCACGGGACAGGAAAACTACAAGGCTCTTGAAAATGAGATATATTCAGAAAATAAGGGAACTGAAGGAGGAAGACAAAATTAAGTCTGGAAGAGAACATAGAAAAAAAAGAGATAAGAAGGGTGAATACCAGCTGTCTATAAAGCTTACAGTAGTCTCCTCAAACTGCAAAATACAGGGTAGTAATTTTACTACCCATAAAATTTTGTTGTATCAGTAACAACACGTACAGAGAGAAGCTTAAAAGAAAATAGTAGAAAGAAACCTCATCAATTACATTCCAGATATAGGAATTAAATTATTCATTACTAAGAGTCTAATTCTTATTTCAAGTAAAAGGTTTCAGGAACATAAAAGCATCATGAAAAACAACAGTTAAGGCAAATACCAGTCATGATAACAGGAAGTGTTAGACATCTAACATCACTATTTTAAAAAAGGCACCAGCAAACAGAAACCATTTTATAAAAAAATAACCCCCCAAAACCTCAGTTGTGAGACTTAAAGAAATTAATATTACTTTACTTTTGAAGTGAAGTTTAAATAGGGCCATAGCTACGTGGGTCTATTTTATAAGCACCCCTGCAAAAGAACCCTCTGATGACAGGAAACTTGACATGTTCTCATTTTTTGCTAGCCAGTCACAAGAAAGAAGTAAATATTTATTCATGTTGTCACTTTGCATTACAACATTGTTGGCTAAGCTGCAAAGATGATGGATATACTTCACTGCCTTCACACTTCTCTCTCAAAGTTGGAATGGTGGTATTGCAGATGACTCTCAGATCAGTCTGTCGCCCCACCTTATTAACTAAACTTTCTTAGGTTTTAGCCTAGAGACTGAACTTCAATTCAAATGGCTCCCTGGGAAGTGTTATTTTATTAACATGCTCTGTACCGTTACGACTTTGTTTCTTCATTTTCTTTAAGACAAGGTTCCTGTTAAGTTTTCAGTAAGTGAACTGTTCTTTGGAAAGTCTGATAAATTAGACCTTGGCATTTATAACTTCTTTGTTATCCTGGCTCAGACGTGCACAGAGAATGAAGCACTTGCGAGCTGTAGGACACTGAGCTTGAGTTCCACAGTTACGACTGTAAACTGTAATACAAGTAAACATAGCCTAAGTGCATAAGCACTTGGCCAACTACTTCCTAAAAGAAAATAGATGTGCCAAGCTCGTTAGATAACTGGAGTAAGCAAGCAAGACCAGAAAACCTGACACATGATCCCTTTATTGCATAATAAATCACTGTAGCACTTATGTCGGTAGTTTAACACACAAAATTTTTTATGAAGCCAGGTTTGCACTCTACAGCAATTTCACCCTTCAAAAAAAGAAAACCCCAGAGCTCAGCCTTCCCACTCATCATATAGACAAAAGACTCAAGACTTAAAATCCTGCCTATGGGATATATTTTGAAAGTAGTGCTTCAGTTCCTTGAAGGGGAAAATCCCAACCATCAAATAACAAATCTCCCAGATGATCAGGGTAAACAAGACTTTCCTAGAAAGCCATCTTCGGATCTTCAACCTGAGACATTGCAACACTGAGCAGTCGCTTATGTCCATTATTTAGAGTCCACACACAAACAGGAAGGCTAAATAAGGAGTATCACCTTCTTACTAATTTAGCTTTTGATTATCAATTTAAACCAGTTACTTTATCGCATAATTTCAGCATAACAAAAAAGCCTTTTAGGCTTTCATAAAATGTTTTCTTCAACCTGTTTCCAGTTACCAGTACTATTTTCAAAGAACACTTGGCAAATCTTATTTCTACCTGGTGGAGTAGAAGAGAATGGAAAAATCTTTGGAAGGGCATACATACCAGAAACTCCAGGAGTTAATCCAAATGAAGAGAAAGAAGTAGAATTCTGTTCAGAGGTATTAATCCTTGCATCCACATTCCAAGCAGCTGTGGGGAAGGAAAAGAAAAAGGAAAAGAAAAAAAATTCACATTGCTGGCAATGTTGAGAAAGTAAGATATTTAATTATGAATAGGGCCAGAAAAACAGTGGGCATTCCAGCCATGTTAACATTTCGCATAACTTGAGGGCATTATTTTGCTTATTACATCAGACAATCAGTGCTGATAGAGATGTGACTGTGTAAACACTGAGCCTGAAACAAATTTCAAGATTTCTAAGATCATCTTCCTTCTACAGCCTTCTGTATGTATAAACTTCTCACAAAGGAACAGTAAATTCTGGTTTAAGCCCCATACTTTTATTCTCCTTCCCATTATTGCAATCATCTAAGTTATTAAAAAGCATATTTATTTGCTCTGTAGGTGAAACCTAGCTTGGGTCAAATTGTATATATGTTAAAGAACAGAAATGAGTTCAGAACAATTTTTGACAAGTAGGAAATACTACTTAAAAATTAAGATATACTTGACTGTTAAGTGTAAGGTAGAAAATAAGCAGAAATAATCAGTGGCACTTATGTGTCAGAAGAAACATCTGGTTAGAATGTGATTCTAAATAAAAACTACTAGTAGCTTTTATTTAGAATTACATTTATTTAATTGGAGGGGCAGGTGCTCAAAACTGGACAGAGTATTCCAGATGTGGTTCAAGTGGATAATCACTATCCCCAATCTACTGACTCCTGTTAATAGAGCCCAGAATACTGTTGGTGTCCTTTGCTGCTGGGGCCTATGGCTGGCTCATGTCCAGCTTGGTGTCCACCAGGACCCCTTATCCACAGAGCTGCTCTCCAGACAGTCAGTCCCCAGCCAGGGGTGCTTCCTACCCAGGTGCAGCACTTCACTTTGTCCTTGCTGAAATTCCTCAGGTTCCTGTTGGCCCATTCCTCCAGCTAGTTTAGGTCCCTCTGGATGGCACCCCTGATCTGGACTGTATCAACTGGTTCTCCACTCCCCACTCAAGTTTGGTGTAGTCTGTGAATCTGATGTGAACAATACTATTGCCTCCTCCAGGTCATTTATAAAGATAATAAATAGGACAGCTTTAAGTAGAGCCCTGTGATATCCCCCTTGTTACCAGCCTCCAGGAAAAGCATGACCCCTGAAACCTACCTTTTGAGCCTAACCAGTTTTTTAATCATCCTAACTTGGATACAATAACACTGTGAGAGACTGTTGAAAGCATTACAAAAGTCACAAAGAAAGACAACCACTGCTCTCCCTCACCCACAAAACTAGTCATTTTACCAGAAGCAAGTCAGCCAAGTCAGGCGTGATGTATTCTCAATAACAAAACCAACAAGCAGCCGGTCACAGTGACTAAGAACCACCTTATTAGAACATACAGCAGAATACAGCTAACTTGAATATCAAAAAAGCCCTTTGCCTCTACTTGGCAATAGTAAAGCTTCCAATGGTATAGCAGGTTCAGCCGCAGGAACCACATTTCAAGGTATGCAAGACACAAGAGGTCTAGACTAAAGCAACTTTGCTGATTACAAAGGAACACTGCTTTCTAGAAGAGACTAGGATCACAGACTGAACAGTGGGAAGGACCATATTACAGCATCTACTAATAAGCTGAAGATTGCTGCCCACAGAGAAATGAAGAATTCTCTTCAGTATTATTATAGTACAACTACAGGTGATAGAGGCAAAAAACAGTAGCGGAGAAGACTAAAAACAATTTCTAATGAGAAAAACAGTGTAATACTAAATGTCAGGAGAGCTGAAACAAACATCTGCCAAAACCATTGTATTGGATCAACAGAACAAAGTTATGACATAGGTGTTAAGACATTCATTAAAAAAAAAAGTTACACTTCAATATGACTTAGTAATTACTTTCAGAATTTTAGGAAAGTGATATAAAAATTTGATTCCTTCACAGAAATAATTTTATTTCAGATAAACTCCAAAAGCCCAGGTGAACTGTAAACAGAGACTTAGATGTTATGCCATCAGAATTTAGAGTAAACAAACTGCTTAGTTCACATTTCACTAGACTACTCCAACATTTTTTTAATATATAAACATAAAGCTATTTAAGAGACTGACTACTAAAATAATATACTTATGTGAAAAAATACTTAAGTGAAGCAAGTTTTCTTCAGAATAGCTTACCAATAGGAGTGAACAAAGAACGCTCCTTCCAGGGCCTGCCCACTAGGGTTACACCCCAGTCCTTTCCATTTCCATTAGCATCTCCAGTCTCCTGGCCCCACGCTGATGTCTCAGTCTTCCTCTTCCCAGCTGCAGCCGAGGGAACAGACGTCCATTTCTCCTCCCCTACACCAATCTGTGAGGAGATTTTTACAGACTTCTCGTTCCAGCTTCCTCCATTTACTGTATGGCTTTCACTCAATCCTGGAGAAACTTAAATACAAGCATAATGAAAGCATTATATAAAATAAGAACTAGATGAAGAATTAAAATATTACTTACATGCACATAGACTTAACAACAAAAAAGAGTACACATGAACAGCAGCTTTGCTACACCAGTCTGATATAGAAGAGCTGCTGCTCTGTCTCAGCTGATTTTCCAGTTCAGATGATATGCACCATCTGTCTACTAACTTGAAGGGTGAGGAAAAAAACAGCACCAAACTGCACTCTCCTTCCTGATCCCCGTTCTTTATAGGGCTGCTACCTTGGTGAACCAGTCCCTCTAGATCACACACACAAAAAAAAAAAAAAAAAGGGGTGGGGGTGCTTCCAACACTGCCAGGTAACTTCTCTTACAGAGTATGTTGATGATTTGTGGAAAGCCTAATGCAGTCAATGGAGAATAGTTTCTGTTTCATACCTGTACACAGCACTTCTCTAGGCAGGAAGCAGTGACCAAGGATTAGAAAAAGCTTCCCAAACATGACACAGAATTCGCAAAGAGCTATCATATTGACTACAGAGTTCATAAAAGTTAGTGGAAAAAACATCATCATAACACCCTCAAAATAATTCATAAGCAATATATTTTATGTTTCATTAAGGTAAAAGACCCTAAGTCTATCTGCAACAGTCTACCCTGCTGAGGAATTACTAGTCATAGCAAGTTTAATGTATACTTTGAGAGGAGTCAGTAGTACATTGAGACATAAAGATCATTATAAAGTTTAAAAAATTATTTTTAATATATGCCTCTATAAAACATAAAGGCTCATGGTCACCTGGTACACCCAGCCTGACCTCCTAGATACCACAAATCTTTCTCAAAGGGCTCTGTGTATCAAATCCTCTCTCTTTTTATATATGAAATGTAAACACCAGAAAAACTTCTCATTAACAAACGATTAAGAAATATCTGCATCTCCTGATGCACGAGTAAGTCAATATCATATGCCAACAAAAACTACAGACCAAACATTTCAGCCCTTAAATGAACTCAGAGCTCAGGCAGCATGAACATGCCATATTCAAGGCGGCCTCACTGGGAAGGTATTGATTAGGTGAGATGTACCTAGATTTTCTTAGACAAATAATTTCCAGCACAGATATCTGTAAAGTCACCATTGCTGTACCTGAAAACACTGCCCCTTCTCTATGCAACTCCACAGCACTAATGTTCATGTCAGTCAATGTTCTTTAAGGGTAATATGATGTCATAGGGCAAGGCAACAAAAAAAATAGTGAAGAGACAGAAACTGAAGTGTAGCTGACATAAAAAGTCTGCTGCAGCCTTGCAAAAAGATAGCTTGCAAAAAGTCGTGAAGCAGGAGCTTGATTATTCTGTGTTTATCACACTACTTTCCCATCACAGATATTTATCTTCTATACGACCAGTAAGATTTCACAGAATACTTAAGACTGAAAGTCTCTGAAAGTCACCTAGTTCCTCTACCTTCTGTTCAAAGCACAGCTAACTTCAAAATTATACCACTTTACTCAAGTTCTGGAAATCATGGTAGTTCAAAGCATCACCGGGCAATCTTATGAAGAGCTTTCTTCCTCATAGCCAGTCAGAATTTCCCTTACTGAAGCCTGATTATTGCCTCCTATCCTTCCATAATGCATTTCTGAAGAACACAGCTCCCTCCTTCTATGCTATGGTCCAGGAAGTTTGCATGCAAAGTAAAGCTCTCAAAAAGTAGAAAGTGGTTCACTTTCTGGATGTGGGTGCTTTTAATAACTCATTTCTTGACTTGCTTAATTGCACTGAATGCTTTTCCTTAAAGCAACACCACTGATGTTGGCTATGAGTAAGAAACAACCATTTTGATTTCATTGTGCCAAACTAATTCACTTCAAGTATTACTATAACATTATGTCTTATCAGAAAACCCCCAAGATTCACTAATCAATCACAGTCTAAAAACAGCCAAATATTTTAACAATTACATGTATGACATATATAACATCATGCATATTTATTTATAAACATGCATTCATTTTGAAAGTAAGTAAATATAAATGTATTTAAAGTATGCCTCTCAATGGAGTAAGTCGTATACAATCTGAAACAAGTGCAAGCTTTACAATAATCAGGACTGGTATCTGAGCTCTTTGCACTTATCTATATTAAGCCTTTCTTTGAGCAAATGCTCAATTCATTAACACATGAAAGTAAGTAAGTTTGCAAAGCTAGCATAAAGAATTTAAGTGGAGCTTGAGAATAAGATTTACTGTGCTGTAAGTAACAATTTGTGTAACAGGTAATCTGGCTGAAAATTCTAGACACTGAATCTTTTTTCTACATATAAAGGAGACTGTTTTCAACCTATGAAGAAGTAACTGCAACTTAGAAGTATAACATTTGCATACTCATAAAAGCCAGCTGCATAATAAAGTTTCAGATCAATAACTCCACAAAATCCTGCACCCACAATTTGTGTTTTCACTTCTGTAGAACACTTTTCTAGTTAATCAGGATGCCTAATAATGAAAGCCTTTTACCTTGTGGAATTGATGACTCCCCCTTTGCAGGCTTAGAGCTGCTAACTTGCGCATTCAGAAGCGCATCACCTGATTGAGAAGAGGAAACAGAGCTAGAGTAAGTTTTTTCAAATAGCAACACCTGTAAAAATCTTCTAAAAGAGTACACATCACTGATATTTTAAGAAAAAAGACATCAATACCTCAAAGTAAATTAAGACATTTTCCAAAAACTTAAGAATAAAATTATTTTTTTTTATTATTTGTGTTTATTTTGTGGACAGCATGAACTCAAAACTGATTTGGGGCCTATAAACCAAGTAACCACAGATTTCAAAGAACTCTAGCAGTTTCCCCAAGAATGCAAAGCAGAAATCTAAACCAGAGCCTATCATTTTCAAGCAAAGGGCAGCTCTAAGTATTTCAGAAATATATAGCTATTTCTAACTTCCACCTTAACATGAAAACACTAGATACAGCTGAATTCTTTTTAAATTAGTCTAGTACAAGGTGATACATAAGAACATATGATGCATAAAGGACTCTGGCTGGAGAGATTACAGTAGTTATGGCTAGCCACAGAGTATGTAGACAGTTGGAATTACCATTTTGTGAAGCGGTTTGTGTGTAAATAGACAGGAAAAAAAAGACGACAGGAAACAATTGATCCAGTCCTCAAGGACAAGAACCTTGTAGTCAATTGACACAAACAAGCTTCAATAAACACACTAGGTAAGGCATGCAAATTTCAATATATTGTTACAGGGTACCAGATAGCTGCTAGGTTGTGTCTTTTTGCCACTTTGCTACAACATCAAGTTTCATCTACTTCAAGCATCAAGTGTATCAGTAGGTTAAAACTTTGTCAGAAAGCTAAACTATTTGTCTTTAGATTCTTTTAGCTTCTTAAACCATTTCATAGTTGCAGCCAAATAGGAATTCCTGAGCCTATACACAGTTTAAACCAGTGCATATAAACCAGAGGACATATGCCTATGCAGCTGTGAAGGTACTGACAGAGCACTGGCATGGAGGCCAGCGTCTCAGCCACTTACTCCAGAATGTTCTCTCCTGAGATTCCCCAATAGCGTGGCTCAAAAAAGGGTGAGTTTTGCACCATGAGTACCACCTTTACGTGGCCTGAAATAATTTCCTCAAGAGTTACACCTACCATACATCCAAAACAGAGTCACTATTTAAGCATTCAAGTAAAGTTATCTTCCTAGATCACGTTCACAGACCTACCGACGATCATACCTTTATTTTTTCTGAGACCAGCCAGAAGTGATGGCGTAGGCATCAGTTGTTCAATGGATACAGTAACTGTATTTTCCACCCCTTGGAGATTTGTTTCTCCTGAGCCACCATCGGTCAGCACCTTGTCTCGCTTACGCTGCTGTCGTTTCTCTCTGTTACTGATTTTAGTTTCCCAGGTTCCTAAAACATCCCCCAAATGAAAACATCACTAAATAAGTCGGAGAGCAAAAAGGAAAGAGTTTTAGCTTTTCATATCAAGCCGAGTTTGAGTACAGGCTTAGTTTAGAGATCGCAGACATGGCAGACAGCTTCAACACCAGTTTGAAAACATTAACAACTGGCCAAAGGTAAGTTTTTCTGGATGTAACACGATAACACATTGTTTCACAAAACAAAACATGAATAACATGAGTGCCCTAGTATTCACAGCTTTTCTCAAGTTTTTGTAACTGTAACTTAACATCAGTTAAAGTTACTAAATACTGTTGTTTCAAAGATCAGATTTCCAGATATAATATGAGACTGGAGTTACGACAAAATGAGTTTGTGTTTCTTTATGAATCACAAACAAGTAAATCTTAAACAGCATTTAAGCCAAAAATATGTCTAATTTCATTTTTTGTGTGTGTTTGTGTTCAGTACCTTCATCAACTTCCTTTCCATCTAGGCGTGACGTATCCTGAACCGTTTTAGCATCTCCCTTTGATTTCTTTTTTTTCTTTGACTAGAATAGAAATAAAACAGTATTGATAAATATATTTATACACACACACACAAAACACACGATCACTTGTCACAATGATTTAGAATTCCTCCCCACCAAAATACAGGAGTACATTTAAAACAGATTTTCCTAAACAACCCTTTGTATGGACAGTTCCTTGAAAGGAATACTAAACAATACTAATTCCTAAACATAAGTTGAGACTATTGAAGTAACATGAAAGACTTATGCATGGAGAAATAAAGAATGCCAGAGACCCCTTTAAAAAAGTGGGCACGAGAATTCCAGCTTGGAAAATAACTTCAAAACAGGAACTGCAATTAGAGCCCATAGACCAGATACACAGGGTTTTTTTTTTCCCCAAGGTTTCACCAGTTATGGCTTCTTGGCTACACAAGCAGAGATAAATCAAGAGAAACGGAGATGACTACTTCTGCAAGCAGTTTTGGTGCAACAGGTAGCGATATGAAGTGTTAAAAAGATAATACTGAGAAAAAAAGATGAAAAATGACCCAAGATATTGGGAAACAGTATATTGCAGAAAGCCTTGGCATTTGATCTTTTGATAAATAAAGTGATGGCAAATTGATTTGACTACCTTCTTAGAAATAAAATATAGTATTGAAGAACTTTTCAATCCAGTGAAGAAAGGTGTAAGGACTACCAGTTAAACCTGAATGAAGAAAAAGACTTTTTAAAGAAAAATGGTTATCCACTCAAATGCTGTAAGGGGAACTATTCACTGATTCACTGTCTCTGGAATATTTGAATAAGGATATTCTAAGAATGCTGGATGTCCTTCTGGGATAGATGCTTCTGCCAGAGGAAGACTAGTAATTGCTAGCTTTATACCAGAGTTCAAACTATATGATTTTCTTGTCTTAGATGTCCAAGAAGAGTACAGCAATCTGTCTAGAATTCAGATTTGCCAAACTATCACCACGGCTGCAGGACATCCTATAGGCCCACAATGGCATGCAGCTCACCTGCCTTTGAGTTAGCATGCCCAAAAAGTATCATGTAGCTTCAATATAGGTACTGAAAGCAGTATAGCTTGTTAGTGCAGCACCAAAGATAATAAAAATTGCACTGCTTACATGCAATGCTGTACCAACTCACCTATTGTTTAATTCATGGTTTACTGCACTAAGGGACCCACAATGCAGATGCACCCAAACTGAATTATCTCACTTACTTGCTCAGTAGTCTACCTTTACCCACATACCAGCCACGTGACTTCTGAAAAGTCTCCAAAAGAGAAGGGCCGGTTTCGAAAGCAACCCAAGAAGAATTGGTTCTAAGAATATGAACAAACCAAATTATTTGCCAGAGCATCTTTGAATGAAAGAATTAAAAAGGAAAGTGTAAAACAGCATGAAAGCCAGTGAAGAATTGCTTCCTGAAGCTCAAACAGAGCAAAGATTAATAAGTTTGTACCTATGTCTCCCATTTTCAGCTGCACTGAGAATGGACATTGAGGTCTTAAAATCTCCCACCCACAAAGCCAATAACTACCCAACTGTCTTCTGGCACTAAGAGAACTCTTGAAATGACTTTAGATGTCTCCCAGACAACAGTTTTAGATGACTGCTCCTCAAAGTTATAACTCCAGTTTCTTAAATAATTACATCCTACAGAGATAGCAACATGAAAACATCAACATTTAACAGTTTTAAAAATAAGTTTCTTACTAACAAACACTGTTTTTAAAAAGATCAAGAATTCCAGTCTTGAAAATATATTTACTTTCCTAACCTGAGTTACTAGAACCTGATCTGAGAAACCAGAACCATGATTAATTATCCAATTTACTCACTGCCTGCCAAGTTTAATGCTGTAACAGTTGCTATCTCTGTAATAAACTGACTGAAAAAGCAAGAGATGTTAAAGGTTACTGAGCAAGCTAGCTGATCACTTTGCAGAAGCCTATTCATTCAAAAAGTGTCACCTTCTGCAATATAGAAATAGTGTTGGCTCTGCAACAAGCCAAAGAAAACATGAGGAACTCAGAAAGCCTGCCATAATTTTAAGTCTTTAAGACGGACTGTCCCCCATACAAGAACAATAGAAAAATAAACCTTTCTTCCTCATCCCTAATGGTCTGCTCATTTCTACTATTCCAGACAAGGTAGTTGTGTGTTTGCGAACAGAATGGGCGATGAAGTTTTAACATCCTGCAATTTTACCCACAGAGTCACTTCTTAGATACAGTCCCTTACACTAAAACCAAAAGAAACCCTGTACTCTGCAAGTCACTAAAATGGAAAAAAGGAAACAAAGTATTCAAAGCATCAAGAGAATCATAAACCCTATGAACAGCCACAATCCAGACATTACCCAAAGCTTCCCCTCCCCCAAAGCAGAACAAGAGGATACAATATAAATCACTATCCTGAAAAAACATTCATGAAATTCACAACCCTAAAGCAGATAAGAAATACAGAAACACAAAGGGAGTGTGATTTTCACTGAAAGCATATATTCAAAGACAAAAAAAAAAATACCCTTCAGGTCATCAATTATATAGATTCATATATCTACACACATGCACATACTACTTAAATCCCACCCATTGACTTACACCACCCCTCCCAAGCTATACAAAGACACAAACACAGGACCCATTACAATTTTCTTAGCAGGTTTATAATGTTACAAATGTAACAGATGCCTTGAGAGTCTTAAGCAAATAATTAGATGCCTGTAAAATTACCTGTAGTTTAAAGAAAGTTTTTGGGGATGCTTTTAATTGAAGGGCAATTATCGACTCCTGAGGCAATCATGCTTTGCTAAGGGTTCTCCAAAGTGATACAAAAGCATAACTAATTGAACAAGCATCCATATCTGTATAGTCATACTGATTTCCTGTATGTTAAGTTTCAACTTAACATTTTAAAAATCACGTCACTTTATTTGCAATTTTAAAGTAAAGCTTGAGTTCAGCATTTAAACCACTTACCTACTTGGAAACCTGCTTAAAACAAAGTGAAAGTTGAGAAGAAAAATATACTTATTCCTTCAGGATCGTATTTTTTTATGTTATTTAAAAAAATCCCACTAAGTCAATCTGATATGTGACACATGGAAAAGAGAAAGAAGGGCGCAGCATGAAATTTTAAGCCAAACTCATTTCACAGAAAAGTCTTTCTATTTGCCAATGGCATATATAGCCAACTATAATGCCCTACAGCCAACTAAGAGGATACAGTCTTTTAGCCAACGTACTAACTGCAAAAGAAGTTATTACAAGATAGTCAAGTAAGTTAATTAAAGCTTGAATAAGCTAAACAAATTGCAATCATCAACTACTGGTTTCTAACTGTTTATGCATAGTCATTTATTCTTCCAATACTCCTCGGTATAGTTAGAACAAATGCATTTTGTTGAAGAAAATAAATCAGAACTCCATGACAGCAGGAAAATTTCATGCACAATGTTAGCAAAAGAACCAAGCCAATAATTGTTGTCAAGGGCCTATTATAAATACATTCACATTGTCTACAAATTATAGTATTTATGATAAAGCTAGAAGGTATTAGTCCTCACAGTGCAAAAAAATAACATTGGCATTAGTATGGTTACCTTTTAGATAAAGCCACAGACCAAGCTTTAAAAAGATGTTTTCAATGTAGCTGTTCAATTTGTGTAACAAAAAGCTCACACCAGACTTCAAAGTCCGTATTTGTCACCAGAAATTAAGAACTCTAATCACTAATGGATATATCTGACAAAAGAAATAAACAGGCACATGGTCTTAATCCTTTGAATAGTAGTCCCCCAGTTGTTAGACCATTTACAAGCCACTTAACAATACTATCATTATATTGCATCTCCATAGAAGCCAGCAAAGATGAAACACAATTTTTGTAGGCTTAACATTTTCACATGGTAAACAGCTATCAGTGTTTAGCCGAGGGCAGGGAAGGGGGTTTGCTTGATACAAACATTCCATGATAAGGTATGATCTCAGAAGTTAAAAAAGTACGACTTTAGCTCCAACGGCAAATTAGATTAGCACTCTTCATAGTAAGAAACATGCGTCCTCACACACTGACAGGATTTCAAATCACAACTAGAGTTATTAGGTATTGAAATAACGTGCACTAAACTTTGACATTGCCATTTCATATCCATAACTGACCTTTTCATTCTTCTTTTCTGCGTCCACAGGCTGCTTTACATTTTCTTTACGGACCGTTTGTATTACTTCATCCTCAGATACATCAAGGAAAGACCGTCCATTAGGCTGTGTAAACAGTAGGTGTGAATAATAAAAAATTTGGAGAAAGCAAATGAAGCAAAGCTCAAATTACACTATTACTGAAATGCAACTATTTGTTGACTGAAAAACGCTCGCAAGATTATTAAGTAAAGCAGAAAGAATCATGGATCCATGCCCAAAATATCTACTGCAATTCTATATTCATCAAACATAGAAATGAGAAAGGAAAGAAAACGGGTCTCTGCATTTCATCTCAATCCTATTCAACACAGGAATTGCTTATCAAAAGGTAAATTTCTGAAAGTTACCAGCTTTCAGAGCAGATACAGTTGAATTGAAAACTGATTTGAAGAACTACAGTTGTATGTGCCATAAATTATCTAATTAAATGAATGCAGTTCAGCAAGGGGCTGATTTTTAAAAATCATTTCTACCTTGACCAGATTTCTGCAGTTTCTACCACTGCATATCCCTCACAGCTCACTTCATTCACAAGTTAAATTTCATAGTAGAACAGAAATTAGAAGTCAAACACTAAGCATGACATCCCATTGTTCTTTTCAGACAGACTTAATTATGGGCGTTACATTAGTTTACTATTTTCCCCTCACATAATAAAGGAAAGAAAATTAGCATGTATTATTTAACATATAAAGTTAAAACGCCGGACAGTCTTTAAATTGGTGTTTATCATCACCTTTGACAGCAAAGGTATACACCTTAGCCTGTATATTTACTATGCAAAAATGTAGTAATTTTTAAGTCATGTTTATGGTTAACAAAAAGCTGACTTAAGTTACTGTGCTTAACTGCAGAAAAGATGAAAGTAACCAAGGCATTATACTGGTAGCCATTAATTTCACCAAGTGAAAAATAACTATCAAGAGCAGTAATTGATACAGAGTCCACACAGCTTTCACAGATTCACATTCATAAAGATTCAGATAAAGACTGAAAATTAAATAAGATATTAAGCATAAATAAATACTTCATAGCTGCTTTGATTTCTGCAATTTTTTTACAATAAAGATCAAACTATATTATCTTTAGTTATTTTTGTTATTAAAAAAACCAAAAGCTATTTTAACTCTGCATCACACGAACCTGATTGCTTTAAAGTAAAACAAAAGCCATATTACAACTTAGTGTGATCTATCCCTTCAAATATCAGATCTGATCCTCAGTTCAACTGGTACAGGTATTGAAGTCTTGCATGTTATATTATGCTTACAAATCACCCTTGGCATGCTTTCACCAGTGCATAACATAGTATTGCTTACTGTAGTTAGCCAGCATGCCAACTTCTTATTTTCTAACTATTAATAGAAATTGAAAGATCAGGTCACCTAACTCCTCTTTCTCCTGCAGCAACCAGTTTTAAACTAGACTTTTCATATCTAAGATACAGTACATTTCCCTCAGCATTCTGAAAATTAAGTATATTTTACAGATCTGTCTCAAAACTCTCTAAAAGTTCCTGTCGACAATGCTCACAGTACTCAATTCCACAGGGATACCAAAGACTTGATATTCAACCTTTGAAAATAACCCATTGCCAAAAAAGCAGTACTTGAACCCCTCTATTTTCTCCAGATTCCGCACAGCCATGCTATTAGTGGTGTGATGTCTTTCAATCCATGTTAATACCTGTGACGTTTAAGATCTTCAGTTGGAGAAAGAATCACTATTACTAAGTTATTTAGCAGTAGAGTTAGATAACAGATTTGCTGCATCTAGTATTGGACTTGTGTAAAAAATGTTTCCAGCCAGCTTTTTAAATTTTGTACCTTGCTTTGCTTCTCTGCTACTACGTATATATCTTAAATTGAAAACTACTTTCTTAATCCCTCTCAAAAATTCAACAGATAAAAGTTTCAAAAAAATTCAACTGTTTCTCTGAAGTAATAAACTAATTCATATCCATTAAGAACCCTCTGGAAAAATTCATCCACATGACTGTTTAAAATGCTGTCTGATCATCTGATCATGTAGACAACAACCGTAACAAATATGTTTAAAAACTTGTGCTTTGATACATTTCTCCCTGACTGTATCCCTGAATTGCAATTGCCTCCTTTTCAGTGGAAGCTTTCCACATTTATTTTCTGCCCACAGATGAATCATAGAATTTTAACTAAAATTCATGTGACCATTTTTGGATATAGCAAAGATAGTAACAGCAGCGGGAAAGAAAAAAAGCTTTTCTATAGTATTGAGAAATGTTTCTTTTAAAAGACAACTACAGCCAAAAAGACTAAGTTTAAAACTTTAAGGTAATATATTAAACATCCACTTACAATATTAATGCATTCAAATTGCGCGATTTAGTTATTTTCTTTCCTTATCCTAAAAGCTACAGGGAAGATGCAACAAGGCAGAAACAGTGTTGTCAATAGCACTACTGATTTCTGAATGCATTTCTTCCCTACTGACCTTAAAATCCCAATATTTAAATAAACCTTTTTCACTCACATTCATTTGAGGGTGTTAAGGTAACCCTAAAGTAGAATAAAGGTTTTGCTGAGACTGTCAAAATGAAAAATATTGTTCTTTAAATATGGTACAGCACAACAGATAACTCAGTCTCACACTTCAAATGGCAGTAATGAAATTGCTATAATTTGAGTCTTACAAAGGCTGTATTAGCCAAAGTCCTTAGTTACACATTACTAAGATATGCCTACTTAGAATATCTTTGGCCAGTGAAAGAATCTGTTTACCAATACTATTTTCTGTCAGCTTCTCTTAAGAAACTAAGCAATTTTCTCTTTGAGCACTCCTGCAGCCCTACTTGTGCAATTTGGCTAACATATACACAAAACTAACATGTGAGTATCAGTTGAAAGTATGAAAAAGTCTTTATGTAGTCTGTTTCTACATGCAATAAGCACACAGTAAGCACAATAAGCATACACTAAGTGCAAAAAGTCATAGCCTGAAAAGTTCTTTCAAACAGACCAAGAAGGAAACTTTTGAATGAATGCAAGTATTTTTACTAAAATGTGTAGCATTTACTGTCCACGTGTACTTTCAACAATAGGAAATACATAGTCAATTTGATATTTTCTTCATCTACAAATAGATGATACGAATTGCTTTCTAAAGGTGTAGCAGAGTACAGAAGATAGTTACTCTCAAGTTTCTATGGTGTTTTGCACATTGTACAGAAACCATCTAAGAACAGTTTTGCCCTTTTCTGCTGAAGGTTTAAAAAGTAGGAGAGAAAGGCACAGCAACTATCCAGAAAGAAAAGGAATTAAAATTACAGATCAAGAGATTTTTGGAAAGAAAAAAAATTCTCAACAGGGGCCAAAATATCTGATAGGAGACAAAGAGCTCTGACCCTGCCAAGGAGTTTTAAGAAAAAAAAAAAAAAAAAAAGAGAGAGAGACAGAGAGAGAGAGAGAAAGGGGCTTCAGGTTTATTGCACAGAATCTAAAGTAAGGACACCAGGATATTACCTTCCTCCAACCAGCTGGAGAAAGCCAGAACTGGCTCGGTAAACTATACTGTTCATGAACACTACACTGTTTCAGCTGCTTTTTTTTTTTTCGCCCCTCTCAGTCGGCCCACAGCAAGTAAATAAGCAGAATCTCATAGTTGCTATTGCATTCAGTCAACACAGTGCTATTTAACTAAACTTATTTTACTAAAAATATCAGGTAAGTTGTACCCTACCTATACAGGAACTGAATAAAGCCATGTACAAAAAAAAATAGTAATACTCTTCCTCAGAAAGGAAAAACATTTCTGATCCTGAATGATGACAGTTACGCATCACCTGCCATACAATAAGCTCAGTAATTCTGTATTAAAGTAACCCTACAGGTTTTAATTAGACATCTGTAGTGTGCTCTTTAATGCTACAGACCAGTTGCTCTAAGCTTTCTGAAATGCTCACAATGGAAATCTAGACCCAGGCATAGCAAACCCCATAGTAAATCTACTGATAATAGGCTTACTCTTTTCCCTTCACAGACCTCAGTGTTAGCATCACAGCATATAAAAACATAAGATGAAAATGACTAGGCAGCAATCAGTAAGAATTTTTGTTACATCTTTAAATTCGAATGTTATTTTGAGAATTTTTCATGTGAAAGTCAGAAAATATCAGGACATACTTATACGGGTCTCTCTGAACTTATCTTGGAAAACAAGCATGAGGGAGGGCTATTAAACTTTGTCACTGGTATAAATTTGTACTAATGGTTCAGTTTGTGCATATTCTTTTTGGAAAAGGTGGGGTGTGGGGTTTTTTCCCCCCCTCTGCTTGGAAATAATGAATACAAAGTACTATAAAAATAACTAAACATCTTCACAATACAGCTTGACAGATTAAGAACTATTTTATTGATTATGAAAATATTTGCTCTTACATAGCCTTAATTTTCATTATTTTGTGCCTGAGTAAACGAAGCTTGACACAGTACAAGTATTTATATTCATCAAAAATATCAGTTAATTAAGTTTTATATAAAATTTATACAAAGGTTGCTTTTAGGAAGCCCTGCACTACAGACCACTGTCAGGTTAACTGGGTATCTATCTCTTCACTCTATCTTCTGTTGAGGCATTTTTTAATATCTTCAATGATGACTTGCAAGAGTTTATGCTTTGTTTTCATACTGGAGTTTAAAGAAAATAAAACAAGCAAAACCTAAATTACTTCTAGCATTAGTCTTTGTTTTCAAGAAGGCGTAACAGATCTACTAAAATTTGAAGGATTTGCCGTTCAGATGGCCAAAAAAAAAATTGCATCTTTAATGTGCCTTCTCCAAAATGGAGACCTAGCTACACTGGAAAGATTCTGCACCACAGTGCTTCCTCTTCTTGGTGCTCAGCGTTCAGTCTCTTGCAACTTCCAGAATCAACTTCAGTAGTTCACTGCTCAAAGACACGTTGGTGGCGTATGCAGACTTTTTTTTTGTTTTCTTTTAAGATATTCTAGCCTTAGCTTCTCATTAAACCCTCCCCAAACTTCTCAAATTTTAATACTGTCACAGACTCAAACGAAGGTACAAACC